CTGCTCTAAATGTTTATATTTCGAATTGCGAGTGATTGGTGGATGATGAATTGATGAATAATGGATTGTTTTTTATTTTTTGTTATTTCAACATTGTGATCGAACATAGTCGTTGCGTAATTGTTTTTCTTTATTGATTATTTCATAGAGTCGTAAACACTATCCATTAATTGCATTCTGTTATGCCTTTACACGTATTGTTGTTATTCGAAATTGAAATTCGTTGTGATAACAAAGACCTTTTTTGAGTAACATTTTGGGTTTCGATGACTTTCTCCTTAATCTCTACGTACTTATTAATTTTTTTATTTATTTATTTATTGTATAAAGGACAAAATACACAAATATGTTTCTAATCGCATTTTAAACCACTAATAATTACCAAGTGTACATGGGATATCTATCAAAAATTAATTGTCTATGGTAAACCAAATCGATATATTAATTCTTTGGCAGCTTTTGAAATAGTTTACTTACACACATTAGAGGGCAAAAATCTGTAACTAGGGCTGCATTCAATGAATGAAATTGGGTCCTCGCGATTAAGTGACCTCTTTATATAACTATGCTATTATTGGGTAAGGTCGCTAATAACCACTGGGCCTTTCCATCGGATTTTTTGGAAAATTACGACTCCGAAGGATGTAAATAAGAACATTATTGATTAGTATTTTTTATTGTCTGTACATTACATAGCGTATTTAAAAAGTTATTAATCGGTTATTACGGTTTTTCCCTCCTACTCGCCTTATTTGCACTTTTTTTTATAGTGAGGGGGCAAGTCATTACTGTCGCTTATACCGACACGTTATTCCTAAATCATTTGTAACGTATAATAATATCGAATATAGGTTTGGAAAATTTGAAAAGCTCACCTTTGCATTGGGCACACGAAGAAAAAAGTCATAGAAATCCAAGTTCACAACATTGCACAAAACGCAAAATAGCGGTACAAATAAAAAAATACACTGATTTTTCTAAAGTTGTCTGTAGGCATAGGTACGCAATAGCACTCGGCCTTTATTATTTTTATTGAATCGTCTGCGTAATAAAGCGGCGTACACACGCGACGACTGTCTCACTAGCGTACGGATGCGAATGTGTAGATGCCGCGCGTGCCGCCGCTAAGATGTCGCTTCAATGGCCAATTAAACAACAAGGCAAAGTTTTTTAATGTTCTGCACTATTTTGCTCATTGACTTTGCGGTTTAATAATTTCTTAACAGACCTTGACGTAATCGACTTTACAGCGGGTTACTAAAGAATTATTTTTTTTTATTTCAAAAAATTACTTATGGTTTTTGTGTAATGTATGTTGTTATATTACCATGCCTAATCGTATATTTCCAACATTATTGTTAAAAGTTATTGAATATGAAATTACAAAAGACGAAAATTCAAGATGTAGTGTATAATTTCTATTTATTTAAAATATTTTAACGTCTATGGTTTAAAGTCTTCGCCTATTTAAAAAAAATATTAAAAACTGAACTCTCAATGAGTAGCCGGTTACCAAATGGAAGAAGGAGTGATTCATAGAGAATATAAAGAAGTCTTCTATAAAACCTGCTGATGCTTTTACCAATCAAGTTTATCAATTAAAGCCTTCTTGTACAGACATAACTTTCAGTTTCGTGTTAATAAACTGCCCCTAAGTCAGCTAGTAGCTGTTTATTATTGTACATCTACCGTACATTAAATGCATCTCAAACTCAGCTACAACACACTATAGTCTATTAGGATCTTGAATATTACATTTTATAATAAGACAAGTAGGGCAACTGCCGTCTTTTCGGCGCTTAAATGCAGGCATTAGGCGCTGAATTGTAACGCCTACGTTCCTAGCGAAGGTAGGGTTGTCACAATATTTTACATCGTATAATTTTAGTTGTACCTTGTACCTACGTGTTGTAAACTTAATTGAAAAAATTAAGGTATTTATCACAGTATTCTAGGGTCCATTGAAAACCAGCGTCACAGCCTAGTCTTAGTGGTGACTTTAGCCGAATGGGATCCTTTTGCATACGCCACAACCGCACACATATCAGTATAGTATTATTTAGTATAGTACAAGTTGGTGTTTAAAGGTTCTGTTCTTATGTATATTAGTTTTTTTGTACGTTTTTTTATAATGTGGCGTTGGAATAAATGGTTTCTATTCTATTCTCGTGGTATATTGAAATAATCTTTATATAATATGCAGTACTATTGATATTTGTACATCATTTGTATTTCGATAATGGGAGTATGATTATGAAATAGGATGATATTTTGACAATTCTCAAAATATGAGTAAAAAATGAGTAGACGTCGATAAGCAATTAAGAGTCGATACTGCCTCAGCTCGAATTTAATTTTTTCCCCATACTAATACGGTTCATTTTGCTTGTGCCGAGCGTCACTGGCTTTATTTCAGAATTTATTTTTTTACAGACGAAATTAAAGGCATTTCAAAAATGTATATCGTACACTACACGTGTTCTATTTAGTTCAGTTGATAAAGAAAAGCATTGGTATATGCAGAGTACCTATTGAATACAGCGGTTTTCTTATAAAATTTCGAGGTAAGTTGGTGTTTTTTTTTTGTATTGTGACAATTTTTATCATATTTTCACATCGTATAATCAGTGTAGTATCCCCAATTTTACTATATATTTTTTCCAAAGTGATTGTTTCAACACTCTCACTGTTATGCGGAGTCATCAAAGCCATTTGAGGTTGTATCACTCCTCACCCATCACTCTTAAATGATGATTATTAAAAAAAACAAGTGAATGAAACTATTTTCCGGATTTAAATCGCGTATATTTGTTTTTTCAAACAAAAAACAAATTTTTAAATCCGGAAAAATAGTTTCATTTCCTATGTGTAACAATCGCGAAAACAAGCTGCCCAAACTAGCATCAGTAGAACTCATTGCAAAAGAGTTCGTCCAGGCAAGTTCTGCCACCCTATTTCTACCGTCAAGCAGTAATATTACTGCGTTCTGGTTTTGAAGGGTAAAGGTGCTGGTGAAATTACAGGCACAAGGGACTTACCAATTTATGTCTCAGGATGATGGAAGCAGTGATCTTTGCGATTTAAATTTCGGAGTGACAAAAACCTAAGAATTCGATAAAAACAAGTGACTTAAGAAATAAATAACAATGCACTTCAGATAGTAGGTTGCTTTCTTTTCATTTCTGTAATTAAGATACGAAAAACTAGATGATTATCTACTTTTTGAATCCACAATTTCAATCTGCGAAAGTCGACGGTATGGAGTCCACATTAACTATTAAAATTAATATAACTCTTTAGCATCATTTTAGCCCGACATGTGGTGGTAGCTCCCATTCACGAATGGCTATCTCGTCACGCGACCGCGCTCACTGCGATAATGACTTTAATTGGTACGTAATGGTGGATAGCTTAAGTGGTTAACTGTGTCATTGACATTTCTTATTATTTTATTGCGCGTGAATGGAGTGAAGAAATAATTTAGATCGTCTTCAACAAACAAAAAGCGTTTAAAAAGTAATTGGCCTTGGTTTGTACCGCTAAATTCAAAAACCTAAACAATTGATCTGAAAAACGTGAGCAACGCTTGTTGTTGCTTTTGTTTTCATCGTCAACAGAATTGGTCACACCAAATTCATTGTATTAGGTGACTGACCTACGATAACTGTTTCATTCTAAGCTTGGATTTGATATCCTTAGATGTATATTACGATAGTGTCTTTAATTGTGCAAAACCACCAGGTTATGATCTACGTTGGTCCGTGTGGAAGTCCTTGAATCGACTTCACACTCATGTAGGTCGCTGCAGAGACAAGATGGGTAAATAGGTGCCCTAATACTAATAACTGTATGAGGGAACATCTCTACGCGGCCACGGATAACGCAGTCAAGGTGGCAACAACTAATTGTGTTGTAATGTTCACGGGACATTGGCGCTGAAAATCAACATCGGTGTTACGGCAAACCTACAAATTGAATATACCTAATATATAAAATAATATCTTGGTGGAGGTTTTTCTTCCACAAATCCCCACTGCGTAACAAGTAGGTACGATGGTGGAGATTTGTGGAATGAAATTTTAATCCCCAGTAGTGATTTTTTATATTTTAGTGCGGATTTGTGGAACATACCTCTACTCAAAATCAATATTGTGCTACAATAAAAGAAGCATCGACACGCTAAGAAGAAGATTGTGCAAGTTTCTTATTCGACAACTCAACGTTTTAAACATTTACCTAATATCATAACTAAAATAACAATAACATAACATAATAAATTTCAATAACCATTCACTTTAAAAATACTAACATGACATTGTAGGTTTCAGTTTTTATTTTTTCTAGTTATTGACATTTATTACTAATCAACTCCTTTCTTATCTTTAATTAATTTTTATCACGTTTTTGATATAGTATTATAATTTTAGGACGTTCGTCAAGATTATTTCTTTTTGTTTTTATTTTCCATTTTCTTCAAACATAGTTTTATCCAATTCGACGAATGAATTACAAATTACATTGTATCAGCTTGAATTATACTATAATTTTAATTATTGTGATTTAAATTTTTAATATTACTTCTTACATATTTCATAATTGTAAATAATTAATGACATAGCCTACGAAATTAATAATTAATCGTAACGTAACACCTTTGTCAATCCACACGAAACAATGGAGGAACGAAAAAAAATATTTAAGATGTTTATTAATCTATCACGCCCAATCTGCTAAACGGATTGGGAGCAAATCTAACGTTTTTAGTTAATAACCTAGATTATTACGTAAGGTGCATTTTGGCCGAACACGTAGCTAGTCTATTACTTATATGAATAAAGCGCGTATAATTTAAGCTTACCCAATTTATTTGTTCCTTATACTTTTTACCTTGGTGAAAACTTAACGTAGATAACGAGTTAACCGCGATTACATTATGAACCGAGATGTTATCATTGTGAACTAGCGTGAGAGGGGCGGGTAAAGATCGAACTGGTACTCACACGATAGCTGAATGGTGACGGTGGTGGAGAGGAGCGGTGAGCGTGGATGGTGGCAGAGCGGAAAGCGAGGCGGGTTGCGGCGAACCGCACCAGCGAGCCTCGCGGACGTCTGAAGAGCCTGACAAGAAAAATTACAAGTTTAGAAGTGTGTTCTAGCATATGTAGCTGATATTACTAGAAATTGTTGGCGTGCTTTTGGAAAGAGCACAATTCAAAATTGCCTCGTACTATTTACGTAATCAATCGAAAAATTTAAAATAATTATTTAAGTATCGAGTTCTTAGGTTTTCGCGATTGTTACACATAGGAAATGAAACTATTTTTCCGGATTTAAATCGCGTATATTTGTTTTTTCAGACAAACCGACGTTTCGGGCCCTTTACAGGTCCCATGGTCACGGTTGCCTGACCATGTCAATCGTGTCAATTATTCATTTCCAATTATTTAAGTATTTATAGATGCGTTATGAATAAAAAAATTTATTGTTACTGCATGACGACCTCCATGGTCGAATGGCTTGCACACTGGTTTTCATGATGTCGCCGTCTCAGAGGTCTCGGGGTTGATCCCCGGTCGGGTCAGTTTAGAAAACTTTTTTCTATTTTCTTTATTTTTCTGGATGTTTGTGGTACCGTGGTTGTTTCCGATTTCCATAACACATGTTTTAGGATCAGAGCAACGTATGTGATTTTGTCTAATATATATTTATTTATTTTATTTACTGCAACTTCTAAAGGCGCGTTCAAATTAGCCGCGCTGCAACCGTGCGGCGGCCGCGCGACAGTCGCGCTGCTGAAGTCCGACCAAATTTTTAGTGATGTTTTATCTTTCGACTCAGTTACACGGTGGATTCTGACGAAGAAACGTTACTTTCACTTATTTTGTTAAAACTGAAGAAAAAAAAGAATACAAGAACGTATCAATATAATCGACAACGTATAATCGACAACGAGAATTATAGACGTTTTCGAGTTGTTTGGGAGTGCTTATTGAGAATGTGGCATTAATTTCTAAATCCAAGATGGTTGCCAAGAATTTTCAAAAATTTATTTTTGGTAATCCTTATGGGAAATGGCATTTATATCTGAATACATGATGACTAACACGACTTTTCTAAATGCAAGATGGCGGGCATGATTTCTCAAATAATAGCAAGTTGGGTATCGTTTACGAGATATTTGGGGGTGCTCATTACAAATATAGCACTTATTTGCAAATCCAAAATGGCGGACACGATTTTTCAAAAAAATGCTATATGGGTATCCTTTTCGAGGTATTTGGGGATGCTCATTACGAATTAAAATGCCTTTTTTACCAGTCGATTAGAATAACTGGCGGAACTGATATCCCATATTGCAAGGTGTTGTTCTGCATTCTCTATAAATTCCTCAACGCGACCGCGCGGTTGCTGCGCTTCCACAAATTGTATAAAAAGTGACAATCGCGCGGCAGTCGCGCGGCCACCGCGCGGCTGCAGTGCTGCTGCAGCGCGGCTAACAGCGGCTAATTTGAACGCACCCTAAGTGTTAACATCGAAAACTATAATATTCATATTTTGCGACACATCACAGATTGTAAGCTCGTATTACTACAGTCATTTTACAGTATATTATACCTACGATTCGGGGATTGTGACGGATTTATTGTACTTACTGCCATAGAGAGTCATATGCGAAGGTGGTCGGCTAGCCAGAGCTGGTGTGGAGCCATAGCGCTCACCGCCAGCCGACAACCGACCGCCGAGGGGCTTGAACGCTATCGGACGGATCACTGATTTTCCCTGTAACAATTAAAAACAATTTTATTAGCAAGATGATGTACGTGTGTGAACACAAAGTCAAACTATTTAATGTATTGTAAATGACAAACAATAATTGTTTGTATTATTCGTGTAACCTACAGAGTATGCTAGATTATTACTTAAATTATAATCTAAACAAAACAAGGTGAATTGATTAGATGACATTCCAATGCCATGATGACTTTCCAAGGCGAGGCGATATTTCACACCGGGCTAGTTGCTTCAGCTGTACCAAGCACACGTGCGGTCATGTATGGAGTACTGCTGCCACTTATGGGATGGCTCTGCTAAAATATCAACTGGTCACATCGGATTCAATAGGTAATCGTGGCAAGAGGCTTATAGGTGACTCGGAATCAGTAGATGCGAAGCTGCAGAACCTTGTACACCGCCGTAGAGTTGCCTGCTTATCGGTATTCTACAGGATATATCACGGAGAGTGTTAGGGGACCAGACGTGGGCTGGGGTTTCACCTCTATGTTGTGGATATTGCCAGGATTCGCACGAAGCGTTTCGCTTTCACATTTATGTTGCGAACGGCTAGGGAGTGGAATTCCTGCGGACTTGTTCCCCGAACACTATAACTTGGACTTTTCAAGGCGAGAGGCCTATGTGATATGAGAGTGACAATGAGGTCGACGATCTAGCATGCACACCTAAATAATACCTATAGCGAATAGGTATTATTTAAGTGTGCATGCTACATCGTCGACCTCATCGTCACTTTCCATCAGGTGAGATGAAGGTCAAATGAGCACTTATTTTTTATATAAAAAAAAGTAATCTAAATCGCTTCAGCTTATGCTACTGCATGCACACCGTAAACACAATTTATCTATTCACCAAGCGTATCAAATGTAAGACGTATATAACATACATAATGCAGGGGTATTGAACAGCTTTAATTGTGTACGAGTACCTACAGTTAACCGTGCTGGATCGAATTAATTGTTATCTTTTCTTTAAATGAAATTTAATTACGAATATGTTTTTTTTAATGTTTAATTGGTTGGTTGGCATAAAGTGCCTACTCGTAAGTAATTTAATAAGAGCAGATGGATAATATTACGTTTTGTTGTGGCGCTTTTGGTTTTTCCCTGTATTAGTTGTAGTGAATTAGGCTATTACTCGTCTAATGTACTTATCTAGTTTGGAAACTCACGGATTTGACATTTTGTACGCAGCACGCATCCAAATGTCACGACGTAAACGCAAAGGTCTCGCGTTTTACGGCATGACATGAACCATCTGCAAACGTGCTTTTGTTACCGTTAAACAGATTGACCCACTGTGCGTGGAAAGAAAACAAACCCCTGTTCACACTATTCGTGCATTTGTTTATTTCTTTACGCTAAAAGTTTGGGTTTTTTTTTTCAAAACTCGAGATTTTTCGTTGTAACGGTATTCTAGGAAAGAATCTCACTCTTTATAGATAAATACTTGTATCAAAGCATGGCAATTGGCCAGTGTTCAATCAAGCGGTCAGTCTGGACGTTAAAAACAAATAAAAACGAATAACTAACGATCGTCGACGTCGAACGAGCATCCACAACTATCCGTGCAAAAACTGTGGAATCAATAGTAATCGTCGCGCAAAACCGCTAATCGTTGCGCTTGTTTATAGTAATCACAGTTTTATGGGATTGAAGTATTTATCCATAGGAATTCCAATAACTATATAGGTACTATAGTTACACTGAAAAGGGAACTAAATTTTTGTCGTTAAACAGCAAAGATTAAAGACGAACAAATGGGAACAAACACAAAACACACACCTTTGGCTAAAGTACTTTTCTTTATTTAACCGACTTCAAATTTTTTTTTTTAATTTGTATATGTTACGTGATTGCTCCAACATTTCGCATACAAAACCAAATATTGTCATAACTCAAAATCGTGGAACTTAAAAAAACTTACTTATGTCTAAATAAAAATAATCACATTATTAGCATTAAGTTCCACTCAGTATTGTTTTTGTGTTTTCTGTTCCGCTATTTTGAGTTATGAGTTATGACACTATTTGGTTTATGAACCGATTTCGACAATTCTTTTTTTAATGAAAAAAGGTATCTCTCCCATTCGAATTTGAAGAAAATATTCCACCTCTAAGGGTGGCAAATTAGGGAATGAATCCGGTTTACTTTCTGTCAACCGATTTTAAAAGAACTTGGCAAATAGACGTATCGTATTCCTCAAACTTTTGAGGTGTTCTTTTTATTAAAAAGTTATTTAACAAAATTTTTCACAGTTTTCGAAGACATGTCTGATTCGGACACACTGTATTCGTCAAGTTGCTTCATAGAATAATACCGTTGTACATAAGGTACGTAAATATGGATACAACTAATAGAAAAGGTTGGTATTTTCTCCGTGAAAACCAGTCCGCTGACGTCCAGTATAGTGGTATAATAAGGTGATTAGTTTAGGGTTCGTTTACGCGTTTACGGTAGTTCTTATCGGCATCTTATTAGCGTTTACGGTGCATTGCGGCATTGGCTTCACGGTTCATTCTACGCTGCTTACTAAAATTGGATTTTCAATTAATGTATTGCGATTTTTGCACACATTTTGAACATAACGACTTTTGATACTAGACAAAGGGAGCTAGCACACACACACAGAAATACAAACAGTATAGCAGCAAGTTTTCGGAAACTGACTAAAGAGATTTTAAAAAACGTACGTGATCATATCGATACTTCAAGGAAGAAAAGACGTAAAAGTCAATTTATCAAAATTGGCTATTGATATGGAATTTTCAAGCTCTCGATCTGTTTAGTCGAAGAAATATTTTTTATCAAAAATGAAGTTCTTATGTTTTTTTGTATGATACCAAATGGCGGGACGAACAAGTCGTGCGCTTGGTGGTCGCTTCACCCTGCACATACAAATTGAGAAGTCCCATGTACCTATAATTTCACCAGCTCGAATTACTGCTTGACGGCAGAACTAGGTAAGGTAGCAACTGTTTTGTAACCTGGACGATCTCTTTCACAAGGAGCTCTATTGCTACTAAACCTAACGTATAAACGTATTATGTGAAAAAACTATAAAAAACCAAAATGTTTATAAAAATTACTTTGTAGCTTAACTTTTACGCCGTTTCTTCCCTACGCCATTAAGATGGTGCTAAATTGCGTTCAAATTCTGTCTGATATGAAAAATTATATATATAAAATAATAGATACATAATTTTATTTAGTATGTTGTTTTCTCAGTTTCATAAACATGTTGCTTTTCGAATCAGGACGTACAATTCCTGGCCATAGATTAGAGCGGTTACACACGGCGACTTTTAGCAGCGATGCAAATGCGATGCAAACGCGATGCAGTAGCGATGCAGTCACTAATCGTCTAACATTACACACGCGCGCGATTTAAAGCAGCGATGCTAACGCGATGCAAGTGCGCGACTGCATCGATACAAACGCGCGATTGCATCGCTACACCTGGGATTTATAGGCGATTGCATCGATGCAATCGCGCGTTTGCATCGATGCAATCGCGTATAAATCGCAAGTGCAGCGAAGCAATCGCGCGTTTCACGAACGCGCGTTTGTAACCACTCTTAGATGGTGGCACAACATGAAACACCTAAATACACAAGGATATGATTTACGTACACTAATTTTACGTTTACAATATATTACGTTAGAAATTCGTGATGGCTCAGTAAGAGCGGTAGCCCCGGTGTGGCAGCAGACGCTGGTTCGAGTGAACTCAATTCGAATAATTTTGTCGTATTATATCAATAATAATAACAAAATTAGATTTTGGATAAAAATTAAGTACAATTTTAGTATAGTATAAACAATTGGTCATCTTATTATATACACACATCAAAAAAAGTTTGCGATCACTTCGAAAAACTGAAATCTTTTTTGTTATTGTAGATTATATTATGATTTTTTCTTCTTTTTAGATTCTTTATTTAAAAATAAATTAGAACATAAAACAATGACCCCGTTCAATTGTTTTTTCATATAAAAAGGCTTTCAGTCCTAGCTTACGCTCATTCAGAAATCTGATTTAGTCAATTATAAGCGATTCAAGATATTTTTCGCGGAAAGTTGTGATTGAAAAAATGCCCAGAGGATTATCAGAGGTTTTACGAGCTAGAATAGTAACTTTGAGGGAAGAAGGATACACCACGAGAGTAATAGCACGCAGACTTGCTATATCCCAATCCTGTGTCGTGGCTACGTTGCAGAGGTATCACGGAATGGGGAATTTAGCTGACCGACCCCGCAGCGGTCGCCCAACTGTTTTGACAGCTGCCCAAAAGCGCTATATTAGATTGCTGGCAGCCCGTGATCCAACAATCAACGCCACTAAAATAAAAGCAGAAGTCAGGGCCGCCTCTGGGCTTGAAGTTAGCACGCAGACCGTTCGCAATTGCTTGCACCAGGCTGGATTACGAGCACGGAGGTCTTGACGAGCTCCGCTCAATTCCCGGCAACGTCAACAACGAAGATTGCAGTGGGCTAGACTTCGGCAAAATGAAGAAGGTGAGGACGAAAACATTTGGCAAAACTGTCTCTTCGTTGACGAATCCCGAATCAGCACTCATCCAGATAACCGACGTGTCCGTGTCTGGAGAAGACCAGGCGACCGTGAAAGACAAAGAACTGCCACTGGAACAGTTCAGCAAGGCGGAAAATCGGTGTCCTTTTGGGGTGGCATTATGATTGGAGCTAGAACGACTTTGATCCCGTATCGGGGCTTCATGACAGCAGACATGTACAAAGCAGTTGCTATTGATGATATCGTCAGACCATTCCGAGTAAACCATGGCACCAATTTGTACTGGTCGATGATAATGCGCCCGCACATCGAGCTCAACGAGTCAATGCTACTCTTCAAGAATACGATATCACACGATTAGACTGGCCTGCCGGCTCGCCCGACTTAAACCCAATAGAGCACGCGTGGGATGCTCTTAAACGAGCAGTATGGAACCGTGAGCCACGTCCCCAGAC